CCTATACATTGTCTAAAGAGGACTTTTCCAAGCCTTTTGAGCCCAAACCTCGCGTTTTGGTATCCTTCCCACTTGTGAATTGTTTGCCAGCCTGTGTGGAAATGCAAGTACACCAATGTTATTTATTCATTTGTTGCAGTGGCTGCTGCTTTTTCTGAGCCCTGGTAGTCACAGGCACAAGCTGAGAGATCGTGTCCCCAGAGGCTGGCATAAAGGCAAACCCAGGCTGGCTGACAACAGCAGCAGCTAAAAAACATAAAATGGAGAGAAATCTGCCTGAAAATGTTAAAAAAAAAGGTGCAGGAGAGAGAAAGGATATAATGTGCTGAATTGCAAGGAGATTGTGCATCATTTATTCCCTGCCGTAGAATGTGATTTTACCTTTACGTAATTCATTCATTTTTTTGGAGATCTAACTGGGAAGGAGTTGATACTCCCCACAAAATTAACTGGTATTATACATAAGCTGTGGGCCTGCCACACAAGGTGTGGCCTTGATATGGGTTGTGAATAGTAGCATAGAATATTCTGAGTTGGAAGGGACCCACTGACATCATTAAATCCAACTCCTAGCCCTCCACAGGACAACCCCAACAATCCCACCCACGTGCCTCAGAGTGTTGTCCAAATGTTTCTTGAGCTCTGCCAGGCTTGTGTCTGTGACCACTTCCCTGGGGAGTCTGTTCCAGTGCCCAGCTACTCTCTGGGTGAAGAACCTTTTCCTAGTAAATACAATTTGGTGTGTGCATGACACACTCCAAATAGATATCAGAGCTGGAAGGTATCGCAGGACTCTGTTTGGGTGACCATTTTAAGTGTTCAGTTCATGTTACACTTGTTTACTTGGGAAAACCACCGAAAAGGTCTCTTGCCTCAATTTAGCTACTGATTTTCACCAACCTTGCAGGACTGCAATATGTTTGTGTTCTCACTCCTCCTATTAAATCCAGTTGAAATCCAGCTCCCTGCCATTTTCCTGCAGCTGGGAAAAGCACAGGAGGAAAATGCCCAGTGGCTGACGCGCAGCTTTCGTTGGCTCTGCAGGTTCCTCCTGGATCATTCACCAAGCATGTGTGGGATGGGCACTCAGCCACGACCCCGGCACTTGCAGCTGCTGCTGCTCCTCAGTCTGACTGAGAACTATTTGAATTAAACACCAGAGGTCAAATACTGGGTGCCAAAGAGGGGGAAAATGGAAAAAGAATGAGGTTTTTCTTCTATGAAAAAAAGCAGTGAGGGAGACATTCTTATCCTGCTCAGCTGCAGGCAGAGGGAAAGGTGCTGAAGTCTCTTCATGGTGAAGAGGTTTAGGTCATGGACATACAGTCCTTTGAGAGGTGAAATGGTTGTCCCAATATTTTTTCTTTGGGGTCTCAGGTGAGCTGGTCCATCCCAGTGGCCCTGAGAGTGTGCTCAGACTGCAGGACAGCAAAGTCCCCCATGTCACCCTTAGCATGGAGAGACGGTGGTATTTCGTGTCTGTAGGGTCAGTGTGGGCTACAAACAATCCCATATTGATAACTAGACAAGACAGGAGGGAAACTAGAAGGGCCAGATGAGAGTTGTGACTCTGTCACCCACCCTGCTTGATGAGAGATATGCAATTAATTTATGTGTTCGTTCATGTTATTTCACCAGGGGCTGATCAAAAGGAACTGAACATAACCACTACCACCAGTCAGCAAAGGAACTTAAAAATTCCATTGCAGTTGGAGATGGCACTGGGCTTTTCTCCCAGAAAACAGGGAGGGTGATCACATGGGATTCACAAGGTCCAGGAAAGTGTACTGGTGAATGAGGGCAGGTGGCCATTTCACTAACCTTGCTCTAGACCACTCCTTCTTCTTTCAAGGGTCTTAAGGACGTGATATTGCATCCTAGGGAAGGATGTAGGACTACAGGAGAAGGGTCACCAAATAAGATTGTTTGATGTCTTTACCCAATCCCCACAGAGCTTCCTTCCCTCTATCCCCCCAGTACATTCCTCCATGCTGTGGTGATTTAAAGTGTGTTCCTTGAACAAACCACCTTTTCCCTCTTGGGAAAGATTCTTTAGATTTATTCTCTCCATGATAATGCAAGGATGGTACAAGTGATTATATACTTGATCTTGTGTTATTAGTTGATGTTCATCTGTTTACCTTTATTTAAAAAGGAAAAGGAATAATATAAATCAGAAATCATTTGAAGGATGCAGAGGCAGGTGGTGCATGTGGCAGTGAACAAAGCCAGGCATCTTCTAACTGGAAACCATTAGGTATGGACTGAGTGGAACAATAGAGATTTTTATGACCTTAATCAACCCATTTTCTTCCTCTGTGTAATCATTCTTTGGGTAGTAAACTTTCTTTTGAGCACTAAAATCTGTTTAGGTTTTCCAGAGAATCTGTGGCTGTCCCATCCCTGGAAGTGTTCAAGGCCAGGTTGGACAGGGCTTAGAACAACCTGGGATAGTGGAAAGTGTCCCTGCCCATGGCAGGGGGTTGGAATGAGATGATCTTTTAGGTCCCTTTCAACCCAAACCATTCCATGATTCTGCAGTTATACTGCCATGGATAAGCACAGAGGCTTTTATGCCAGAGGGTGTTGGTAGGACTGAATGGCTGCAGGGTCTTCTAAGAGGTGACAGCAGAAATCCAGCAAGAGCTTAAGCACAGATATTGTATGCAGAGAAGCTTAAATGAAGAACTAGAGTGGTTTATTTCTAGGAAGGGGAAACATCTTTTAAAAGGTCACAATATGAAGAAGAGTTTACTCTTCTTAACTCTTGCAAGGCTTCTATTAACAGCTTCCTAAGTTTTTGGTGCTAGCAAGAGCAGTCTGGTATATCCCTTACGGTCTTGCTTTCCCCTTAGGGTTAACTGGAGGGTTCTATGTGATTTCAGAGGGTTAGAGTGATGTCAGAGTGACTTTAAAACATTCAACAAGCCTTCTCAACCAAATGTTCTGGTAGATCCCACCATTTACAACTGCATCATGTGCTGGTGGCATTGGCAATGTTTGTGCCAGACAGAAATTTATGCAATATGTAATACTGTGCTACAGTTGGCTTGATAAGCAGTTTATCTGAGAAATATGAACTTTTCCATGGAGTGTACTGTCCTCTGTCTCCTGCTCTGTGATAAAGACAGGTTTATTAGCTGCTTTTTCAGTGGATCTGTGGTATACCCTTGTATATTGTATACAATCTAGTTCAAAGCACTGTCACTGAAGAGTAATTCACAGCCTCTCTGGAAAGACAGTGGATAAAGATATCTATCCTTTCAACTGGAATTTCATCCTAAATCCCTGAAGTATATAATTATATGTTTACAACTAATAAAAATGAAACTTGTCCTATCATACTTAGCAACCTTGGAGAAATTGTACTCTCTGTAGCCATTGAGTACAGATGTGAATGCTTGTCTGTACTTCTGTAATAATGAAGTGGTTCACTCCCTCTGACACCAGAGATTTAGCTCCCCAGATGTTGTAACTGTGTGTGTTTTAATGTAGTTCCAGGTTTCAGTCTAAACTGAACCGAGTAAATTCCCTTTGTAGGGTAACCATGGAATGTGTCGAAGGGTAGAAAACAGCAGCATCCACCCAGGATGGACATCAAACAGTTGTATCATTTAGCCTGGGAACCATCACCCCTTCCCTGGTGTAAATGATTAGAATAATCAAACTTTAGAAGGCTCTGAGTTTGAAGGTACCTTATGGATCATTTTGTTCCAACTCCCTGCCTTGGGCAGGGACACCTTCCTCCAGACTAGGTTGCTCAGGGACAGTGCTATGGGAAATGTCATATAAAACATCATGCACATAAAGCTAAAACTGACAAAAACACAGTAAAAAAAAAATAACTATCATAACACCACCAGTATTGATTCACCTAAACCTCTGCAGATCCAGGGCAAGAGCTTTAATGTACATGATGTGCTCAATTTAAAAATGGAGTAATTTTGCATTAGTGTTGAGGTTATTCTTTCCACTGCTGTTTCACATTAGCACAACCCAGTGAGGACCACAAATATTTCCATGTCTGGTTTCCCCCTCCACCTCAAATGAGTTGAGAATGTTCTTGTTAATTCACATATGAGACCAAATAATATGTTACGGATGTCCACACTTGTGCACACTTGTCCATGCAAAAATGCTCACGTATTCCTCAAGAAATTGGCCAAATGGGACCCTGAACAACCTGGTCTAGTGGAAGGTGTCCCTGCCTATTGCAGGGGAGTTGGAACTAGCTGATCTTTGAGGGTCTTTCAAACTCAAGCCATTCTGTGATTCTATGAAACCTTCACTGCCAAGTGCATGCCTGAAGTTTAGAGGTGAGGAGGAGCCATGATTTGAAACACACAGGCATCATTTTACCATTGCTCGTTGTGAGTCAGTCTCTTTGCTGCTTTTGAGTTGTTCAGTGCTTTATTTGGAACTGATGTACAAGCCATCAAAGCAGTGGCAATAAAAACACTGGATAAGCTGAGAAAGCTAAAAAGGTATTTGAAAGGAGGAATGTCTCTCTCAATGCAGGCGAGTGGCAGGAGAGCCTTTGAAAAAAAAAAATCCTCTGAAGCAAAATACTGCCTGTCTAGCAGGATGTTTTAATTCCAAACTCTTCAGGCTATTTTTATGACATTGCCAGGAAATAACAGTGCAGTTCTGCTTTTTGGGAGGCAGAGAGAGACACACACCAGGCAAACCTGTGGTCGTTCTGCAGCCAGACCTGCAGCAAAGCCCCTCGTTCCCCAGAGCAGAACGAGACAAAGGGGCAACCCCTGAATTGTGACAGGCATTAAGGAAGGCCAAGAACTTCTCCAACCCCAGTCCCTCTATTCCTTTTCCCTACACAGGGCTCCCTCTGGAAGCCTTGCCCAGAGCACAGCAGAGGAGATGCCAAAACCCTGCCGGACAACGTGGCATTGGCACCTCCTCCACACTTCTCCGGGCAAGTTGGCTCCTTGGAGGGTGAAAGGGGGTGAGCTTTGAACTTCTCCGGTTCTTTTCCTTTCCAGCTTTCCTTGCAGTTTTGTGGCCGGTGGGACGAGGACTCCAGCTGGCCTGCTGGCCACCAGCCGCGAGATGGCGATAACGTCACGATAGAAGAAGGTCGGACGCTGCTGTTGGGTACCAGCACCAGAGTCCTCAACCTGCTGCATCTCAAAGGTCTGCGAAGGCGGGGGGTTCGGTGCTCTGCTTCATCCCGGGCTGGGAATTCTTAGTGCCCGTGATCTCCCCTTCCATTCCCCACCTCCAACATCGATGGTCAGTCAGGCTGAGTTTCCTCTTGATACACACGATGGGGACGGGGGAAGAATTTAATTATTCTATATGCAAAAGGTGTCGTTTATGCTGTTTGAGCATAATGACAATATAAATAGAAAGGCTTTCCCCTGCTTCGCCCCCATTTCTTTCCCTCAACCCCCAAAATTGCTGCTGTCCTGAGCAACGTTCAGCTCAGTGATAATGGCACTGCTGATAACAATAATCAGTTTTGTTTAGCGTCTTCGAGGCAGGTGTGTCACAAACACCTTTACAAAATTAATGATGTTACAGAATTGCAGGTCACAACTACCAAATGTAATTAATAATCCAAAGTCCTAGAGAACAGCTGGTGGACAGTAAATAAGAGTTATGGGGGGGCAACACTGGGTTTGCCAGGTTCATGTACCTGCTCATAGACCTAGGATAACTGTGAGACAGGTATATCTCTGTGTGTCTCTGTCAAAGTAAGAATTAAAACTACTTGTAGTTCCATGCCAGAAATTTTTCCCTCTGAAAATTAGGCCCTGGTTATGAAAACTGTTGTGCACATGCTTGGTATTAAGGGAATGAGCTCTGCTAGTGAAATTACTTACTTAAAGTTAAGCCTCTGCTGAAACAGCTCAAAATATGAAAACAGGAGTTTTTATATGTTGAAGGACCTGGATCCTTGCTGGTCAAAATGATTTTATATTAAAATGGTATTAAATGTACTAGTCTTACATTGAGATGGTGACAAAGAACATAATAACTATATTTTAATCTGAATTTGAATTATCATTTTATAAAGTAAAGACTTTGTAAGATTCTTCTCAGCCTCATTGTAACTGTGACATACAGTGGAGGAGACAGGTCAGAACCCCAGATTTCTGCAAATCTGGATGCAAATCGAGATGAGGATTTTGGGGCTCAGTCTGACTTTGTGAAGAATTGGGGCACAATATTGCAGCAGAAACCCTTTGAACTCTGGACCTACTCACAGGCACATTTGATCTATGAGTCAGCACTCATGAAGACACCATATCTCTGATTGAATTTAATGAAGTCTGGAGCAGTATCTTTATGGCTTTGGCTCATCTGACATTCAAATCATTCTTCCCCTTTATCGTGTTTTCCAAGAAGCTTGGTTTATAATGTCAATTCAGTTAGGAAAGCAGCATTAAAATATTCAAGATGTTATTATTTCTCCATTGCTACGTGCCATACATAAGGACCGAACATTTTAGAAGCAGAAACCTGCACAGGGATTGCTTATCTGAGCTTTGGGAAGTTACCTGTTGCATCCACCCCCGTGGTTGCTCTGGCTGTTTAGTCTTGGTTAGATTTTGAGTCAAGACCCGCTGAGATCTACTCTGAAATGAGGCTGGGATTTATCTTTCCTAGTTTCCCCCTTATTAAAGCTGTCCAGCTCAGGGGAGTTGTTTAGGCTCCTGTATTGACAGAAACACATATCACCAAAAACTTATTCATCTTAGATATTTGTAGACACCTGTTTATAGGTGAATCACAGGTGATCCCCTCAGAGCCTAAACTACTGACTCTGTGAGCATGTCAAATAATTGACTGTTTTCCCAAGGTAAAAGATGGGCAGGACAGTAAACCCTGAACCTGTAGGTGGGTGTAGATGTGTGCTTCAATTGAAATGTCCCATTCCTATTCTAGCTGGAGAGTTTTTCTTGGTCGGAGCTGGAGAATGGGATTAAATTGTAGCTCTGCTCCCTTTGGCTTTCATGACTCAGCATCAGGTTGTCTGTGCACTTTCAAGCTGAAAACAAAAAGAGCTTTAATGCTACTCATTCCAGTGATGCTGTACTGCCCATTTTCTGGTGCTGTATCTGGCAAAGGCAACACATTTACAGACCCATTTATTGAAATTCTCTTTTAAGACACTGTGGGGACTTTGAACACTACCCCTGTTTGTACATCCTTATAATGATTTCAACACTGTAGAAATTGTTTAAAGGAGTGTTATAACAAGGACATCCAGCTTCATGTGCAGCCTCAGAGTGACTCTTCCTCAACTGTATTAACAAATAGCCCAAAACATATAGTTATTCTGGTAGAGACCAGCCTATCTGGGCAGAAGATTTGGAGGCCAAAGCAATGGAGAAATAGGATTGAGCAGCTGGGTCCTGCTCACTGCGATGAGGGTTCAGGAGTTTCTCTCTCCTCCTCAAAAAGCAGAGCATGAACATGTGAATATCAGCAGTGGAAAGTTTAGTAGTCAGACTGTGGAACAGCTCAGACAAAACTGATTGGGGAAGAGATACAAGATAGACAGACTGGAGATAATTCTGTGTGTTCAGCAGATTGCAGTTATTTTTGTAATCCCGACATCGCAAGTATGGAAATATTTATGATAACCCAGGACAGATGGAAATTTCCTTTGCACAGGGCTTACACTGGGGGAACTTCTTTGTGTTTGGGGGGTTGATACCTCAGACGTGTGTTGCTGCCTTTGTCTGAAATTAGAGTGGTCTAGGGAGGTCTGGAAAAAAAAAAAAGCTACCTGGGGATGAATTTTAGGGTGTCATTGCTGGGATACTCTCATGGGATTGAAGATCCCCAACTGGCCAGTTGCCTTTGCAATGGCAGTCTTGAGAAGGCCACTCTTGCAGGCATAAAAGAGAAGATTGTCTTGGTCCTTGTACTGGAAAAGACTCAGCTTCACTTAAAGAATCATTTTGGTTGGAGAAGACCTCCAAAATCTACAAGTCTAACCTTTCACTGAACACCACCTTGTCAACTAAACCATAGCACTGAGTGAAAAAGTCTAGCCATTCCTCGAACACTTCCAAGGATGGCGACGTCACCACATCCCTGGGCAGCCCATTCCAGTGCTTGACAACTAAATGTTGGAATTCAAGCATTGGAATGATGAAGAAATACTTCCTGATGTCCAACTTGAGCCTCCCCTGGCACAGCTTGAGGCCATTTCCTCTTGTCCTGTCACTTGCTGCCTGTGAGAAGAGGTGAAACTCCACCTTTCTACAGTGTCCTGTCAGGTAGTTGTGAAGAATGAGAAGGTCCCCCCTGAGCCTCCTTTTCTCCAGGATAAACAGTCCCAGCTCCCTCAGCCACTCCTCATGGGACTGACTCTCCAGACCTTTCCCCAGCTCCGCTGCCCTTCTCTGGACATGCTCCAGCACCTCAATGTCTTTCTTGAAGTGAAAAACCCAGAACTGGACACAGGACTCGAGGAAAGGCCCCACCTGTGCCAGGTAGGAAGGGACAATCACTTCCCTTGTCACAGCCTTTCCATCCCCTGTCATTTGTGTCACTGCTGAATCTTAGCAGTCGTGCTGAAACCAACGTGCCAGTTCCCTCTTCCGTGGCCGAAGACTCCAGGCTGAGGTCTCCAGAAAGGTCTGACCCACCTCATCTGTGGTTTCTCTAAAATCTGTGCACTCAGTTTCCAACAGACCAGAGATAATCTGAGCCTTGGTGTTGTGTTTTTTTAAACCATGAGATCCAAGGAAACAACATAGGGAGCTGAGAAGCCCCAAAGAAAGTCCTGAAATTGTCAGTTATTGCCTGATTTTGAAGCCACATCACAAGAGCAATGCTTATCCTTCAAGAAAGCCCACAAGAAATCTGGAGATGAACTGTCTACAAGGACATGAAGTGATTGGTCAAGGGGGAATTGCTGCAAAGGGATGGAGGGCGGGGTTAGATTGGATATTAGGGACAAATTCTTTACTGTGAGGATGGTGAGGACCTGGCACAGGTTGCCCAGGGAAGTTGTGGCTGGTTCATCCCTGGAAGTGTTCAAGGTTGGACAGGGCTTGGAGCAACCTGGTCTAATGGTAGGAGTCCTTGCCCATGGCAGGGGGTTGAAGCAAGATGCTCTTTAAGGTCCCTTCCAACACAAATGTTTTTAAGGTTCTGAGTTCATGATACTATGAATATTTTGAATTTCTTGTAATCCACATTCTGATCAGACTGGCTAAATTGGATCCTGTGAGTAGATCTAGGGGAAGGGAAACACAGATGTTGAGTTTCTTTCTCTTTTCCTCACCTTTGATCCTATTAAAAAGAGCATCAAATATTTCCTGATACATCCGCTTCAATAATTATCAAATAACTAGTACTTCGGTCACTGCTGATAAAGGTTGGGTTTAAATTCACTGAAAGAGGGAAAAAGCTTTTCCCCTCTGTTTTCCTGTCCTTTCCATCAACCAGTCCTTAAATCCACTTTAAAATCCCTTGCCAATAGGTACAGTTGGAACCTATATGTGTCACAGCGTTTTCTGTGCCGTTTTGATCAATCCATTTAGGATGTTCATTGTGATACTTTTTTTTTTTTTTTTTTTTTTTTTTTTTTTTTTTTTTTTTTTTTTTTTTTTTTTTTTTTTTTTTTTTTTTTTTTTTTTTTTTTTTTT